CAACATTAGCATGCCAGCACCCTATGCTGTAGGGACAATGACCCTAGTTAACTGTGGTGCTGCTATATGTAAACCCACTGCCTTAAGCTCCTTTTCAATATTTGAACCGCGATACGTGGACAGTTTATAATTTCAACAGAACTGAATGATAAAGCATGGCTGAGTTCCTTACATCATGAACATTGTGGAATGGATAGTGAGAAAGATTTTATTCTTTGTCATATACCTAATTACTAACACAACACTGTGCATGTCTTGTCTGACATCCTCCTGAATTATTCTAGGTAAATGTGCATCAGGTTATGGTATAACTATAGAATTCACTGACAAAAAATGTAGTGACAGCTACTGACTTAGATGATTCAGTATCCCAGCCAATGAATTATTTCCTATTTTTTCTCCCCACCCCTGGCAGACTGATTGTTTTATGCCTGAGTTCATTTATTGTGGACCTTAAGGGCTTGTACAGCTAAAGTCTTTCACAAGCCTCCATAAATGGCAACAACAGTCCATTGTATGAAAAGCATTATGGCATCAGTCATAATTAAGCCAGGTGTCCCTGTCAGAATCTGAAGATGTCCCTTCCACATCTAGTTTCCTATCTAAAAAATGCAATTTAGATACATTTAGCTGAAAACAACTCAAGGCTGATCTTTCTCCAATGGCAGCTGATATAGGATGGCTCACCTGTCACTCAGAATGATGCTTCCAGCCATGAAAACTATGAAACAAATGAATCAAGGAGTCATCTGTTTCTGCTCCCTCTTCATGTGTTTTGAATGACTTGGATGGGATTGCCATCTAGTTTTCAAAATTCCTTGCAATCTATTATGGGAAATGTGGAATCCCTTGATTTTTTTCATGACGTTCATCCATTAATATTATAGTTCCAGAAACTGAACTGTTATATTTCAGTCTATAAAGAACAACTTATAGAAGCTGTCAAATCATGCTAATAATTCTAAAGTTGCAAAAGTAGAGTAAGGACCATGCCAAAAAATTGTACTTTTTTTCAGAAATGAATATCAAATTCTTCAAGCAACTAGGAGTTCCTGGCAGTTGGTTCAATTTACATGCTTCATCTACTTTTCTTCTGTGAATTTGGATCTTATCTGTGATAAAAACTGACTGGCAATTGACTTTCTTGCTATTTTTTTTTTTTTTTTTTAGTAACATTAGCCAATTTCTACCTGGAATGAGAGAAATAATGTGTGAAATACAGACTCCTTTTCCAAGAAACTCAGGGTGTTCTGGAAATCCATCCTTTGTATGCTATAGGCTTGCACATTAATATATAGCTTTAAATATTTTCATGTACACCAAATTATATTTATTTTAGATCGTTACCTTTACATTGATGATAAACAGAAGCCATGCATTTTGATATTTAGTAGTCTACAGTACAAGAACATTTGATCTTTTAAAAATACATGCCCAGTGAAATGGAATTTGCTATTTGTCAGTATTATTACATAATAGGCTTTCTGGCAGTTTTAGGATATATACAATATGCTTTTATTATTTTAGTGTCATTGTTCATAAATAATTTGAAGGAAAAAAAAGCAGAAGGGCAGGGGAGAAAAAGAAGATTCTGAATGTCAACTAATAACAACAGAGCTCTATGGTTTCAAACGCTCTTTCAACCCACTCCTGCTGGGTTCATTCATTTCACTTTGATTTAATTTCCAGCAGCTTTGCCACAAACGTATCTAGCCCACAAAACTTATGATTACCCACAGTCTCATAATAACCCTGTTATTTTTATCCTGCCACAAAGGAGATAAAATACCAGGCTGAGATGCACACAGGGCCTAGTGGTTGTACAATAGTGTTAGGGCCACAAGAAGCTTAAAGCAGATAGAATAGATTAACAGAGCTATAGTTCTACTTGGCTCTTAGCCAGCAGAAAATGCATATATAATCAAGCCTCTGAAAGTTTTATTAGGGCTTTGAAGTCTCCTCAACACTGCTGTTTTCATACTTAGAAAGTATCATTAATTTGAAATTTATCTCATTAGTGCAATTTAGTGTCTGCCAAGTATCCCTTGCTATGATGACCACAAATTTATCTGATACTTCATTTTTTGGGTGGTATTTGATTCTTGCTACAATTTTTAGAGGATGTCTAAGTTTGAAGTACTCCAAAGCAGGTCCAACATGTGATTATGACTTGCTTTCTATGCTCTCCTTTCCCCCCATTCTTTTCCCTTAGATGTCTGTGCCTGTAGCTCTGTTGTGTCTCTATGAATGATCACAGGCAGAGATCTTTTACTATGACATCAGGGCAGCTCAGCCAATTATAGCAAGGGGCTTTATTGTGTGTCTTCATGCATGTGTGTGTGTATGTACATGTATTGATATTCACCTCACACTTTGCTTTCCCAGAGCAATGATTACAGCAAAGTCTGACCTTTTAAAATACAAAATGTATTAATCCCAATGAATAAAGATGACATTTAACATGTTTCACTACTGTAACCTTCTGAATTAAAGTGCTTTTTGCATGGATAGCCAATACTATTTATTGTGTTTTTGTCTGTTTCCCCTCTATGAGGAAGATGTAATTCCTGTGGAGCATAAAATAACAAGTATCCTGATAACATGGTCTTAGCAAAAAGTTATGAATATAATGAACCAGATGTGGAGGAGGGGAATCTTTAACACAGGGTTGTGATTATGAGATATGGCACAAAATCCTGCTAAGATCCTCTGAGATCTTAAAGGGGAAGATCAGTGAGGGAATGCTGAAAAAGACCATGAGGGAGGAGTCAGCTTGGAAAATTAAAGCAGATGCTGGTGAAGTCAGGAAAAAAAAGAGGAGCAGAATGCAGAGAATAGGATCCTCATGAAGAAAAGAAGAGGACAAGAAAAAAAAAAAAAGAACAGATGGACAGAAGGGCTGTCT